TCAGTGTGGCATCCATGAGAACTGCACCACGGATGATCCTGGTAAGCGGTCCCAGGAGAGCCACCAGTTGAATCTCCACTTTCTTTACGACTATTAAACTACAAATAGAAATGTCATGAGTGGAAAGGGTAGATTCTAAAGAGGTACTAATGGGGTTGCTGGGGCAGTGCTAATTAGGAACAGCTTCAGGCATTGGGCTGCTAACCACAAAGTCCCAGATTCAAACCCACCAACCACCCTACAGAAGAAAGATGAGGCTGTTTCCTGTGAAGACTTACAGTTTCGGAAACCCCATACAGAGTCGCGAAGTAGGAATCGATTCACTAGCAGTGGGTTGGGTTGGGTTTTTGATCAGAGTCAACAATCACACCAAAGACTGACCAAATGCCAGGTCTATATACGCACCTCCTCTAATCTTCATGATGACTGTCTTGAGATAAATCTGTGCCCATTTATAAACAGTGCAAGCAGCCCAAGAACCACCACAGGGAGGAAGAGGGATAACTGTCACTGCAAGGAGGGATTGCAATCATTGTGACGAAACAAAGTATATGATTTGCTGATGGTAAAACTGATGATCTTGTCTGTAAACCTTAATTCACAGTAAAAAGTTTTTAGAAAATTATAAAACCTGCATGTAACAACAACAAAAAAAGAAAATAGGATCCTTCAATCCTGCTGTCTATAAGAGACACATCAAAAAGATGGAGACAGCCAAATCAACAGAAGAATGGTTAAACAAAGTTTGGTACATACACACAATGGAATAACACTGAAGAGTAACGATGAATCTGTGAAACACCTCACAACATGGTTGAACTTGGAGGACATTACACTGGGTGAAATTAGTCAATCACATGAGGACAAATATTGTTTGAGATCAATGTTATAAGGTAAGAAACGGTTTTCTTGGTAACAGAAACAATCTATGATGGTTACAGAATGGAAGAGGGAAAATTATTCACAGGCTAGAATGTAAGTCACATGTTAACCTGGGTGACAGGGCAGGCAATATATAAGGGAGGTTAGCAGAGGAAAGTGAAGGTAGCAGGAAACATGGGGGAATGCAATCGTTTAAGTGAACAAAGGTAAACACTATTAATTGTTGGTACATGAAGGGGATTGCAATCATTGTAATGAAGCAAAGTATTATGATTTGCTAAATGTAAAACTGATGATCTACTCTGTAAACCTTCACTCAATTCACAATAAAAAGTTTGAAAAAGAAAAAAGGCAAGCCTAAGAGGAATGATGTTCCCTACTTTGGGCTTTCTTGTTTTATTTCTGAACCGTGCTTTCTCGTCTACACTGCATAAGCTCAACTAGAAAGTAAGGTCACAGAAAGCATCTGAACTGAAACCCAGAGGGGTCCACAACCTCCCCAACATTCCAGCTGCTTCAGAGTAAGGAAAACAAGAGGTCCATAACCCCTGATTAGATCATGGATCCTTGTTCTTAAATGGATACTCTGCTACACAGACAGGGGAAGGGCAAAATGCCCTGGGTGTTTTGGTGATTCAGGGGGTGGGAGAATGTATTTGTGTAGAAAGAGACACACTGATAGGCGTGGAGGGAACAGCAGCGGTGAATCTACGTAAAGGAATATGGGTCTTTAATATGCTCCTCTCTCAACTTTTTTGTAGGTTTCAAATTTTTCAAAATTAAAAGTTGGGGACAAAGTTTGTATGTTAAATCAGCTTTCAAGAGCAAAAAATTCCAAATTCTTAAAGACTAATAATCAATCAGAAGGCAATGATGCACCCTAATATAAAGAATCCAATTTTCTTGGACAGATTTTACTGTGCCCCACTGAAACAGGTATCCTGGTAGTGGTTATGAATCGGGCTGCGAACCTTGCAGTCAGCAGTTTGAAACTACCTGCCGCTCTGTGGGAGAAAGATGAGGCTTTCTGCTCCTATAAAGATTTACAACCTCGGAAACCCTGTACAGGGTCGCTACGGTTCAGAACCGACTCGACAGCACTTAACAACAACACTGAAACAGGTGGGAAGCACCTGTGTAGCAGCTCTAAAATTTCCTCTACAAACCTTCAGTGTTTCTAAATCTGTGAAAAACAGCCCAGTTCAGACAACAAATGTATCCAAGAGACACTACTCACAAAACCCACTACATACCCTACCTACAGCCAGGAGCTCCACACACACCTCTCAAAATATGGCAGTGAAGTGTTTTGTTAAATCATAATTCCTGATCATTTCAAGCAAGAGGCATACATTTGTAGAGGCACACATATGGTCAGATACCCAGTATGATTATGAATTCAATTGATCTCCAGTTGGATGATTTATCACAAAGAAAGTCACCAAAAATCTAAGCGGTCTGGATTCATGTTTATTGAAGCCAGTAATTAGAGACATCTTGTTTGTTTCCAGCACGAGAAAGCAAAATTCCACATGGCTGCATATGCACCCAGATCGAGCCACACCCCTGGACTCAGGCCGGTGGGGGACAAGCTGCAGTCCTAATTTTAAGTTAAAAATACCAATAAACTTGAGTGTGTAGACAACAGTGAACGTTCACTTAACAGCATCAACATTGTGAAGGTCAAGATGTACAGAGCAGTCACTCTCAACTTTTGTTAAATGAATAAAACAAGACAATGCCTTCAGTTTAAATACTGATTTAAAAATGCCAAACCCAAAAAAAGTGCAAATAAAAATAATCTAGCAGCATACCCGTTGAATTTTTTAGGAAAGACCAATTTGTGGCTTTTATTCAGCCACATTTTCAAAGTTGCATTTATTTCTTTGATTATTTCCATTTTAAAGATGAACAGCAGATGTAACCACCATAATATATATAAATAGTCAGAAAAATGTCTTTTAACAGTCTACCATACAAGTGTATTCTGCAAATAAAATTAATTTTATTTTAAAAAGTAAAGGCTGTTCGTTGTTTGGCCTTTGGTTCCAATGCTTGAAGACCCCAAAATAACAACAACAAAAGTACTTCCCCTCCACCCGCCCCCTCCCTAAAACAACCCTGTAGTTTTCCAAAGTTGGTAGACTTTGGCAACCACTGAGCACATGACACTCAGCATCCACTTCTCATGAGAAACTAAAAGCCCTCTCCAAGAAACCTTCCTCCACAAGACAGGTGTCTTAGTATTTCCTCGGTTTTAGTACATTTTATGTTGACATAAAAAGTGCTATCAGTTCAAATCATAAAAACAAACATGAAATTTTGCATTAATATTTAAAAATCACACTGTATCCATCTTAGGTGCATGCCTTTCCAAGAGTTTCTTCTAGCTTCAGAGGACACTCATTTTGTCCCCCAGCTGTGATGCAGGAAGGAAGTGAGCCCACCTTTAGTGTGGCCAGGCTGTTTGGATCAACTGGTCATACTTCACCACACAGCCCTCACTCCAGTCAGTTTACTGTCTGGACAACCTGGTCATTGGAAGCCACACATTTTTTAAAAAATAGAACTGAATTAAAAAAGAAAAACTACACATATTTTTAAAAATAAAACTGGCACAAGAAACATGATTTTGTTTGTTTGTCCAAAAGGCAAGTAAATACTAAGCTCTGTCTTTAACAGTGTTCAGACCTTTACAAAAAAGCAATTCAAGACGATCTTAGAGTCTTGTTATACAATACAGGCTATTAGTTCTGCCCAGTACTATATTAGTGGTCAATCAAATCTGGTATGTAAAAGTAACGACATTAGGGAAGTTATGCACAGACATAGTACAAAAACATTCATATAAAAAAGTAAACGCCACATAAGTGAATGGTGGTTTTTCCCTTGGTTTGACAACAAATGTTTTACACAGTAAATTCATGGTAGTGTTTGCATTTAAATGCTGTGGCATGTACAAAATAAAAAGTGCCATTTCAAATCCACGAAAGTCATTTTCAGAATGGTGATGTGACATGACACTATATGTGAAATTGTAGTAAATGGGGAGACACTGGAAACTCTTCTTTCCACAAGATAACAATGATATGTTTTATGAAAAACACAAAACCAGAAAAACCTATCTTTTCCATTTTCCATATAAAACATTCACACGATGTGTCCCTCTGGTAGCACTAATCAGACCAGGGAGCTAAAGCAAGACCTTTTTGCATCAGTGGGAATCCATGATGGTTTTCATGGACTGTAAGGCAGGGATTGGTGCAAGCCAATTAACCAGAGTGCAATTACTGACAACCTCCCAAAGACTTTCTGCACATGGTAAAATGAGAGGTCACTCACCCACTCTATTAGTAGACCAGCCTGTGGAAGTAAAAATTTAAATGAAAGCAAGAGCTATTTAGAAAAGACAATTCAAAGTAAACTCACTTGTAACTGATTTCATCATATCCCACAGTGACTGTCTGCCCCACAACAGTGCACATGCTTGGAGCCCAGCACCTCCTACCAGGCCATGGCTTGGATCAAGCACATGGGTCCCAGGCAACCTGCCATCTTCCCTGTCCCTGTGTCAGCTCCACCTGACATGGGCATCCCCATACCTTACACATCTCTCATAACCTAAAGATGCATTCTGAACAAATCTAATTCCCATTTTGTTTAGTGTTTAGTTTGGAAATGCTTCTAAATTTAAATCTTAAACAATGACTTTTTGACTTCTACTGAACACACAGTATTTACTAACTGCTTCCTTCCTCCATCTCTCTCGACATTCACCATCACTTGTCTCATCCCTCCTTCAGTCTTTTTCTTTCTTGGACGTTTTGCCACTTCTTCTTCCCAAGAACAAGTGAATTTGCTAATAAGCAGACTCAGGTCAGACTTACTGCCATCTGATCAATGACTTCCTGGTCTCATTTGCTTCACCCTGACAGAAACTGGGGCCTCTTTCTCTTGATCTACCTTTCCCTCCACAAGAAGTCCAGCTGCACTCGCCTCCACGAGAGCCACATGCCCAAGAGTCCAAGGGTTATCCTCAACAAAGGGTCTGACACATATCCTTCCTAAATGGGCATTTCACTCGGACAAACCAATGAAGATTTTTTTTTTTTTACGTTATCTCCCCTGCCCCAAAAAACTGATAGCATGTGCCATATCAGAAAAATCCTGGTCTTAGCAGATCAACAGACATAGTTATTTGGTCATTTGACATATGCACTTTTTAAGGAGGATCAGGCTTCATTTTCCGTTGAAGAGTTTGTTACCATGGAGTCAGGTTTGCGAGTCATTCTATCCAGCTCTTCCTGAACATTTGTCAACACAGTTTTTTGTCCTTGAAAAAAAAAAAAGAAAAGAAAAAAAGCAGTGATGGGTAGCAAGAAAGAATTTAAACAAATAAAAGGCCATTTGGAATGATGCCGATTTCATAATCAAGTTGTCACTTTAGCCTCAGGAGGAGGAGAAGGAAAGCTCTTTCTTGCTGAGTCTTTCGTAACTCCAAAGGTCACAAGTCTGTGATCCCTCAACAACGGGACTGCCCCTGGCAGGGGATGCCTTTCTGGCAATGAAAGGGCCCCACTGCACCCTTACTACCTAGAGATGGAATCTGAGTTTGGAGCAGGCAGTAATCAACCTTAGTTCCCCTGACAGAACAGGTACTTTGTTTCTAACTACAACCCGACAAGCCAGACTGTGATAGGAAGCTGGAAACCCTGTTTGCATAGGAATGGAAGACAGGTCATTTCTGCACAAAGCTGGTGTTCCTTTTTTGCTGTCAAACACTAACTGGGCCTGAAAATGATCCCTGTCAGGGAATACAAACAAGCCCACATGCACAGACTGGGCCACCAGACCCAGGAACCGCTGGAGGCCCCAACTGACCTATAAATGGAACAGTCAGGTTTGGCTCTGGAAACACCAATTGGGGAAACTGGCTGTATTAACATACTTTATGTTGTTGTTAAGTGCTGTCAAGTCGTTCCTGACTCATAGCAACGCTGCATAGGGTTTCCAAGGCAGTAAATCTTTGCAGGAGCAGGACACTACATCTTTCTCCTATGGAGCAGCTGGTGGGCTCAAACCACCAACTTTTGTGATTCGCATACCAGAGCTTATCCAGAGTTTCTCAATACTTTACAGTTAGTAGAAAACTGATAGCAAAGTCCCTTTGGAATGTCCTTGAGCTCCCTGGGCAAATGTAATCACTTCCCAAGGAGCTTGGTTCTTTTGCTTTAGAGACTTCCTTGCTCCACCAGCCAACACAGATCTGTGGAAGACGGCCCTCCAGTGTGGCAATAAGGATGCACGGGCTCCAGCGTGTGGCAAGGCAGACAGTGAAGTCACCAGAGACACTTGTAAACCACCACAGAAAATGAAATAGAGTAAACTGTCAATGCGCTCCAGTGGAAAGGCCTTCTAGAGCAGGGTTTGTGTGGAGTTCAGGTATAACCTGACCTACTCAACAGTCCTGAAAACCCAACTACACTAATTCCACTTTAAATGCACTGAGGCAACGACTCTCATGTCAAGGTAACCCTGCTGCAGAGCTCAGAGCATGCTCAGTGAAGAGAAGAGTGCCACTTTCGGCCTGGCTGTTCAGAACACCAAGGGGTTGCGGTTCAGATGAAGGAAGACCACCCCATCCCGCCAGCACAGGTCTCCATGGGCCCACCTGTACCTGACTTCTTGCCTGTGCTCTGTACCCCACTGGCACCAGGACTTCCAGGAGAGCCTGTTTTCTTACTCAAAAGACTGTTGAAGAAACTGGCCAACACCCCTTCGCTTGCCGCATTATCTAAGGAAACATTGAGGAAAAAAGCGTCACACAAATCAGATGCCTTGATGAATCAAAGAAACCGATCTTCATCTTGGAACCATCCATTTATGGCCATCACCATCCTAGGAGGCTGAGCATATTCACTGGCTATAATTCCTTACACACTGGCACTGTGGAGGCTAAGCATGATTATTAAGTGGAAATGTGTTTCCATTCTCTACCTGTTAGAAACGTAATAGATGACCTTCACATCATCTCCTATTCAGGCAGTGGTTTTCAAAGTTGTATAACCCTTACCATGTCAAAGTTGCTATGAAAAGCTGTCATCCTGAATAGATGGTGCCCATCTGACATGTAAGAATTAAGTAAAATTTAGACTTGATGGTTTTGTAGCAACCAGTATCTTCAGGTACCACGAAGCTACTAGGATATAGACTGAAAGCTATTGGGGAATAAAACCTTCAATTCATAAATAGTAATGAAATAAACACAAAACACAAACTAAGGATCCAAATTACACACTTTAGAGTGACTTTCCATTCTGTGGTCCTTTCTGAAAGACCTGAACAGCCTCACTGAGCTCTTTCACAAAACCAGGTGTGAAGCCCCCTACCTTTCCCAACCCCCAAGTCCAACAAAGGAACAGCCAACCACGAACCTCCCCATCTCCCGGGAGACAGGATGTGGAAAGCAGACATTTGTGGGGAAGAAAATGGCCCAGCAGCCTGGGTATCCCGCTCATACCCCATCACCAACACCCCGCAAGCACAGGCCAACAAGGAAATGACCAAGGCAAGATACGATACATACTTTTGATGTTTGGGTCTGGCTTCTTAACTGACGTGCCTGGGGAGGCGCTGGGCACACTGGCTGGCCCTCCTCGGCCTTGAGTTCTTGGAGAGCCAGAAGGTCCTCTTGCAGGTGATTCCTAAGACCAAAACCAGCCCAGGTCACTCACACAAGTGCATAATAACAGAAAAAATACCAGGCACACAGTAGAAGGTCCCAGATAGAATGAGAGAAAAATGTAGACAGAATACACTCAAATTTCTAAAGAAGGCCAGATTTACTAGACAGAGAGATACTAGAAGAGCCCCTGAGACTATCACCTAAGATGAACTTGGAACTGAAGCTATTTTTGCCTTTTATTTGGTCACATTTTAGCCAAATAATAGACTTAGCTTATATAAATAATGGTATCACTAATCTGTGAGTAATGTGTTCCCTTAAACAATAAGACCAAATGATCCACATTTACCATAAGCTAAGATGAAAAGGCAAGGAGAGAAACAGGAGCTAGATCAATGGAAACAAAATCAGCGGAATGGAAATAATGGTACTGCTAACACAATGGGAAAACTGTAACCAATGGCGGCTGGCATAGAGCAATTTATATGAGAACTGTTAAAGGGAACCAAATTTGCTTTGTGAACTCTCACTTAAATACAGTAATTTCATAAAATAAGGGGAAGCACAGATCCAAAACCAAACACCTACTTATGCACATTCTTTGTCACAGTCCAGGGAGAAGAGTGCAGGACAGGGAGTTAGCACCCAGCTTCAGCCCCTTTCTAGACCTCAATTTTCCCTGAGAGAAACACTATCAAGATAACAAGGCCTGCTTATTCTCACTCCCAGAGCTGCATGATTTCCTCAGACACTTAAGGTCCTACTGTGTGCCTACTCCTGAGTTTTTAGGGAGACCAGATGGGTATAAGTGCTCATAAATCATGGTATAAGGTTTGAAAATAACCAACATACTGTTTTGTGTACAATACTCACGGAGGCTCTCGTGGGTGTGGCTGGCTGCTTGGCAAGGAGTGACTGCAAAGAGAGGGACACAATGGCCATTAACCAAGGCCTGCAGAGTGCACTTGAAGGCCTGGACAAAAACTCACATCTACGCATTCCACTAGAGGGCACCATTAACAAGAACCCAACTACATGTTTTACAATCTAAATGCAAACATAATTGAGCAGTTCAGTATATGCTGAAAAGTTACACATAACCATTTGAAAAGCCAAGAAAGCAAGCAGGGCATAGAAAGGAGGCACAGTTGACAAAAATTCCATCAGCACCCGCTGCTACCCTGCCTACACCAGCAAGCCGACCCAAGCAGTGTCTAGTGATGCTCTGGCAAATGAGAAAGGTGAGACTGAGACTGTGTTCTATCAGCCTGGAAAAGTCGCTCTCCTCACCTGCAGAATAGGCCTAGCAGCTCACCTGCCTGCATGCATAGTGCTGTGTGCGGCTATGTGAATAATGAAGTGAGCTTCATTCACTTGGTCAATTGTCAACAACCTAAAACTCCTAGAAATCTGACACTTCCAGATGGAGATGATACAGAAAAAAGCAAGTAAGCTGCTGCTAGAGCACCTGCAAGGCTGGGGAAGAAGCTCCTAAGGCAGATGGTTCAACCCCAACCAATCCTGGAAATGCAGAGAAAGCAGACAGCTGTCTCCGGCCCCTTCAATACTACAAGGTCTTCCACCCCCAACCCAGGGAACGGGCTCTCCTGTACCAGGTGGCCTCTGGTCTGGCCTCAAAGCTCATCTTACCTGTTGCTTCATTAGGAACACCTGTTCATCCTCCGCTGCCAACTCTTTGTCGTGGACCAGCTGTGAAGCAACACAACTCATTTGTGATCACAATCCAAGAAAATTCTCCACTACAGTCAAAATTCATGCTGAAAGAAGACTCTTGGACTTGGGTGTGTAAGCCTTGGTATGGGGTCAAACTGACGAATTTCAATTTAGTGCCAGATAAGCACTAAATACCATCTCCCAAGTCTGGGTGGACAGGAGACTGTTGGAGCCAGGCACTACAGCCTTAGCCATGCAAACGCAACAGGCCTGGAGGGGAGACCTCACCCCAACTCCACAGGGGCAGGTCTTCACTGGAGCTCTTTACAGGGACACCAAATCTCAAATTTCAAAAAGGCCTTGAGCTGCTATATACATATTCTTAAGAGACACAATGTTTGTTTACAGATTGATTTTCCCATGAAAGCAAAAGCCTTGGTGGTACAGTGGTTAGACACTGGGCTGCTAACCCAAACATCATTGGATTGTACCCCCCAAGTCACTCTGTGGGAGAAAGATGAGGCAACCTATGGGGCAACTCCTACTCTGTCCTAGACGGTTCCCTGGGAGTCGGTTTGTTCTCCCAGAAAAACCAACCACACACTTTAAAATGACTGATGTGGGTACCTTTCTCACAGGAGGTTTCACAATGAAGTCTTCAAATGCATCTTCTGGCTTCACCGTTGAGAAATTTTCATGTAAAATAGCTATTTTCTTTTCATTGTCCCAGCCTGCAGGTCTAAAGATGAAAAGAAAGGGACTGACTTGCTTTTCCTGGGTGTGCTTTATGACTTACACAGAGCACCAGGTTAGAGGACCCCTGGGTGAGACCTCTTCCCAATGCAGATATAACCCATCGCTTAATGTCATGGATCTTGCCCCATCCTGAGCTCTGAGTATGAGATCTTATCCACAGGCCATGGGAGTGTTCAGAGTTCTCCCACAACACCATGCAGAGTGCCAGGACACAATGGAGCCCTGTTCCAACACAGAGGAGAATGCAGACAGCAGCACAGAGGACAGAGCTCTGGCAGGGAGGTATCCCCGTGGCCTGCTTCTCTCCCTGAGAACTCTTCTTTCTGGCCACTTCCCTCATGCAGTGCGCCATCTATTTTGCTGGCGTGGCAAGATGTGCCCTAGAGTCAAGGAGACACCAGGGCCGGCATCTACCATCCCCTCAAATCAGAGGGTTACGCCAAGTATAAGGAGTCCTCAAACTCCAATGTGTTTGCCACCCAGACTGACAGGTAGGGCAGGATGACACCTAGGTTATGGTAAGTCGCAGTCTGTGGTGCTTACCAGATTCTCCTAAAGGCAGCACTGATAACAATCCTATATGACACACTTTTGAGCTCAGGATACTCTAAGATAGCAACTGACGATTCCCACAGGCCTCTCACTCCCCACCCAGTTCCTGCTCCCCAGCTCTTCAACCAGGAGATGGTTTAGTCAGGGTGCCTCACCCACCCAATGGTCTTGCTGACTCTAGCAGCAGACCGAAAGGTAACTAGCAGCAAGGTCAAAGGTGCACAGAGAAAGGCTGTGCTAATGCGTTGCCACAGCCTTCAGAAACGGCAAGGTTCTTTTCACTTTAGATCAGCCCCAAGCCCACCAGGCCTCCCTGCTCTCCTGTTCCTCAGGACCACATGATTCTGGGACATTCCGTACTGAGCTTGTCTTTGATGCCTGCTGACTCTGCACAGGGGTTCTCTAAAACCAGTCACAGCCTCGAGGTTTGGCTGCCTGCAAGCACCTGCATGAGGCTCACTCTGAATGTTCAAAAAGCAGCTCGTTCATCTCTGAGAGATGTAGGCCTTCATACCTCCTTCAGCTTCTCATACTGTCATCCCACCGCTCCTTCTGGTCTGCTGGCAAACCCCACTCATCCTTCCAGCATCACCCCCTCTGCCTTCTGCACCCCCTCGCACCACCTCCACTAACCCATGACTGTCCTTCCCCTCCACAGCTGTCCTCCACTTATATGTGTATGTCCTCCACAATGCCGTTAGCAGGGACCACACTGACTGCATTTCTGTATCCCTGGCAGTCTGGGCACACCCATGAGGTGTTCAGTGTTTGTGGAATGAACAAATGTAACTTTTATAAGTTTAGAAAATAGCTAAGTACCAAAGACACCGAAATACTTATCTAATAACTCAGGCCTCTCAGAGCCTCCAGTTTTATCATATATGGGTGCATCTAGCAATGCTTTACCATCCAGTGAGCGTAGCACAGAGAAGCACAAAAACACATGTAGACCTACGACCATCAAGGAAGAAGAGCACAAGTAGAATGCAGGACCCTGTCCAGAGAAGCAGCAATACCAGAGATGGGGACAAGGAGAGAGGGAGCAGCTGAGAACTTGGACTCACTGAGAGAAGGACTGAGTGCTGGTGACCAGGAGGCAGGCTTGCAGAATGTGCCCTTTGGTTGTTTAAATTATTATATAATCCTGAGCGTTTCTGTGTACACCGCCCCCCCCCCCAAAAAAAAAAAAAAAACAAGAGGGAATGGAAGCAAATACTGTTGAATGATGATGCACGCAGAGATTGTAATCATTGCAATGAAACCATGGTGTAAAATGTTCCCCCATGTAAACTATCACTCAGTTCACAATACACACTTAAAAAAACATAGAACAAGCAAGTTGTTCACTGGGGATCCATCAAGGCAAGCAATCAAGCCCCTCAGGACAAACCTCCTCTGAGACCAAAACTCAACGGGAACACATGAGCAAGCATGGAAGCTTACTGGCGACCACGTTGGTCTACTGAGTGAAAGAGGAGAAAGGCAGCAATGAAGAAATGGGCTGAGTTCAACTATGTTACATGGACTCCCGTTGAGCTGGAGATAAAGAGAGAAGAGGAAGGGCTGGTTGGTCTGAAGGGTGGTAAGACCTGGGGACTCCTAAGCCCACGGACATCCAGCTGATATGAAATGAGGGGAAACACAAAAGTAAGCCCAAACTTACAGATGGTATCCATTTGACCTAGCCTCAATGGCCTAATAATCAGAACTCGACTAGGGGAAGATTAAAAAACAATTTTTGATAAAGGAAACAAGTGTAAATTGCCACAATTTGATGAACTTGACCTATACTTTTGCCCCCTCATTTTGATAAAAGAAACAAATATAAATTGCTACAATTTGATGAACTTGACCTATACTTACGGATTTAATAACTCAAAATAACAACTGAGAGGAAAGGAGTCTTCACATCCAACACATCCAAAATCAATCCTATCCCCTCTGTATACAGGGTAGATAGGGACAAGCAACTTAGACATTGGCTACCTAAAATGAGCAGGCGATAAAGGCATGAAGTGACTGGCTTACATGTTTTCCATAGGGAGTTTAGTTTAACTGGGGAAAGTAGAGGCCCCACTGAATAGTTTTCATCTTGTCTAGATGGGTCTGGTGAAAAGAGATGGGGATAAGATTCTTACCATTCAACAGTGAATAACTGTTATCATGACTAATTGTCACGGTCACAACTGTAAAGGTAGAAGTTTTGTAATAGAAACGGGAAGTAGTTAATCTTACAGTCCAGAAACAGAGGATCCTAAGACCATCAAGGGAGAAGAACATGAGCAGAATGCAGGACCCTATCCAGAAAAGCAGCGACACCAGAGATGGAGCAGAGATGAGGACATGGGGAGAAAGAGTAGCTGAGCACTCTAGACTCATGGAAAGAGAAAGACTGAGTGCGAGAGGCCAGGAGGCAGGCTTGCAGAATGTGCCCTTTGGTGGTTTAAATTATTATGTATTCCTGAGTATTTATGTGTACAAGCCCTGCCCGCCCGCCCCCCCGACAACAAAATACAGTGAATAGAAGCAAGTACTGTTGAATGATGATGCATGGAGGAGATTGTAATCATTACAAGGAAACGAAGGTATAAAACCGATGTTCTCCCATGTAAACTATCACTCAATTCACAATAAAAACTTAAAAAAAACAACTCATGCAGACAAAAAAGTACCCAAGTCTCTGCCCAGGACAATGAGGCCCATCCCAGTGGCTCCCAGAGTGTGAACTGCAGGCAACAGAGGAAGCATTTAGCATAGCTGAAGCCAGCAAGGGTGCCTATAGTCATCCTTGCCAATGGGCAGAGAAGCCAGATGTTTCAATAAAGATCCAGGCAGCCCCTGGGACACAAACAAGACCATTTAGAATTTGTAGGTCATAAGAAATAGGTGCATATGTTTCTCATTTAGCACTACTGGACTACTAATCACAAGGTCAGCAGTTCAAACCTATCAGGCACTCTGTGGGAGAAAAATGAACCTCAGAAACCCTAAAGAGCTAAGAGTCGGAATCAACTCGAAGGCAATGGGTTTGGGTTTGGTTTAGAGCAAGAAAAGGTTTGAAAATCTTTTCAATGCAGTAAAAGCTGCATGTGTGGCAGTGAGAGGCATTGTGAGGAAGAATGTGTTGCAAACAAGGCTGAGTTCAATCATTTCACAGTGAGGGCAAATCTGCATGACAGTTAAAGGGCAGGGAGGAGCTGTTAGTAATAAGCCCACCATTCAGGATCACTGAAGTACAATTCCCTGACTTCAACGCCCTCTCCAGCCAGTGTTCCACTAGAGTTGACAATAAGTGACAAAAATAGCTGGCTTGAGCTTTGACAACTTGCTCTTAATCAATGAAAGCAGGCAGTACGTGCAACCAAATGTACTCCCCTCAGTCCTGAGGCAGAATACAATATCATTTGGGAAAGGTGGACTATCAAGTCTAGTCTAAGCACTTTGCCCCAGAGCAGCAGCAGACTGGCTGGCTTCCAAAGGCACAGACAGTACCTCACCTGAAAGGGTAAATTATAAAAAGCAGACAGACTATAAATGGAAAAGGCTGAAAGCATCACCTCCAAAGAACTCACATAAAAACTGCATCCTTTTCCACGACTAAGGCAGGCGTGGTAAAGTGGAAACCGTATGTTTTATGAACAATGTACTTATACAACAGGTCAAGGTTCTTCTCTTCCTTCACTGAGGTGTAAATCAAGGCAGCTCCATCTAATTCATCTGTTTAAGGAGCATGAATTCATGTAGGAGGAGACAAAATCAAACATACAAGCACAAGCCTCAAAGCACTACTCACAGGTGGACCACTTTTGGAATCAATACAAGATTAGCACAAAGTGCTGATATTTTAAACATTTTAAAGGTGAGCCAAGTCAAAAACATGAAGCAGGTTGATGCTAGAGGCCCTGCAGGTCATTTGGTGTGGCACTGTGGGTTAATGCCCTGGACTGCAAGGTGGTTTGAACCACAAGGTTCAAGCTTACCAGCTTTTCTTCCGGAAGCCCTACTCAGGGTCACTATGAGTCATAACCAACTCGACACTACTTCACAACAAGCTATTATGGCTCTGCAGCCAAGCCCAGGAACCATCCTCAACATATTAATACACAGATTCCTCCCCAGTTCATAGTAAATACAACTTTTATGTGGGATGGCTGCCTATTTATCAGCACCCTCAGCTGGTATTCAGCTGGGCTGCACAAGCTAAAGGGCCATAAGGTAGAAACAGGAACTTGACCCCCAACCCAATCCCAGGGTATTGGGACTATGATACAAGCGCTCCTGTGTTTTTACAGAAATAAGACGCAAGGCCTACTGATACCTCATTTCACAGTAAGCACCAAACCTAAATACGTGGGAAACACCTGTGGCACCTTTAACGGCTCTCCAGCTGGATAATTAAGCACTGATAATTAGCGTAGCTCTGGTAGCGTAGTGGTTATGAATCAGGCTGCGAACCTTAGGGTTAGCAGTTCGAAACTACCAGCTGCTCCATGGGAGAAAGATGAGGCTTTCTGCTCCCGTAAAGATTTACAGCCTCGGAAACTCTGTACAGGGTCGCTATGGGTCAGAACTGACTCGACGGCACTTAACAACAACAACAACAATTAGTGTAGTGGTTACGATTCAGGCTGCTAACCTTAAGGTCGGCAGTTCGAAACTATGAGTCGGAACTGATGCAACAGCACTTAACAACAACAATTAACCACTGGTGTGTTACTGCAGGATAAGCACATGACTGCAAGGCCGGCAGTTCAAACTCACCTGCCACTCCTCAGAAACCTGACACAGGGTTGCTATGAGTCAGAACTGACTCAATGGCACTGAACAAGATAGGCAAAAGCGTACAAGTTTCAAATTACAATCTAATACTAATACAAATACAAAACAGTCGGAAGGTTTTGCCCCGGGAGAGCCCATCCTGGACCGTGCCACAGCGCCTCAAGGATACACTGGAGACAGAATCTCCGCAGGTGGGACTGGATGAAGTCAAAGTGCTCGTCCCGGTAATCGTGCTCCTTCTCCAGGACACTCACCGCATCACACTGCAGGGAAGACAGGGAAGACAAACGAGTCAGCTTCCTGCCTCTTGGTCTGCTGAGGGTGGGGAACACAGGGTCTGCGCTTCAGAATAGTGGGATAAAGCACTGGACAGCAAGGTTGATTTGAGCCATAGGGCTGGCAGCTCAAACTCACCAGTCGCTCCTTGGAAACCCCATACAGGGTCACTGTGAGTCAGAACTGACTCAAAGGCACTTAACACCAACAACAGCAACAGAGAAAGCCTGAGCCATGGTCCAAACAGTACTTAAAAGTAAACAAAATGAGAGCAACTGGAGATTTCTCATTTTCGTCCTGGGCCATAGCTTCCCTATCTGTAAGCTGGAGCTAGTGCAGGTCAAACAAGGTACAATCCTGAAGCAGTGCACTGCACCCCTGCACAAGGCTCCAAACTCAGACAAAGACCGACACAGCACACCCCAGAGCCAGGCAACAGGTTGGCCCTGCCTGGGAATAAAGTGCTTTGGACCTTCAAAGTGTTTTAAAAGCTCCTTTCTTTCTGCATGCAAGATATGCAACTTTGTTTCTCTTTAACAGAACTAATTTCTGTTCCCACCTCAGCGATCTACAGGGTAGAAGAAACTCAAATTTAAGAGTTCTCTTCCTTCTTTTCCTAAGGTTATTATTAATGTTCTTTCTAAAACTCCTATTAGGTCCAACAGAATATCTGCCGTTTATTTGTACCTTTAGGACACAAAGCCCCAAAAGTATTCTGCTCTCCCACATCCTGATTTTCACCATGAGTTTGGTTAACACAGCCTTATGAAAAGAGCATCATATTTCTGAGTTTGTCACTTGATAACGTCAACAGTGCTTCACAGAGAGAGAGTGGCCAGGTCAGAAACAAACTGAGTAAGTCATGGCTTCAGCAGAGACACTAAATGGAAGTATTTTCTATCCTGTTCTTTTCCAAGTAACTTGAAAAGAATTCCAAAGCAACTTAACTCTCCCTTAAGAAAGATAATCAAAGCTTCTAACATGTTCTCTCACAATGTGCCTGTTGACGGGTCAAACACTGCCATGCTTACGACCCCCAGGCCCGCACCTTTGTACACACCACCAACACTGGGATCCCCAGATTATGGGTTAGCATATTGTCACCGAGAGGCAAGGCAACATTTTCTTCATCCAGGCCTGAGGTCAGAGGCCCTCTTCTCTGTGGAGAACCTTGACAACCTTCTTCAGGCTCAACGTAGTCTTGGAAATCTTTCACAACTATAGAGGGAAAAAGAAACAGATAAAGCACGTGTGCATGTGCCTATAATAAAGAGACATACCATTAAAAATGGAGATGATAGCTTGAGAAAGTGAAGTAGCAGTAACACGCACAAAACATAAGTGTTATGACAATCTTTCCAATCCCTTCCTACTGCACCATTGGGGATTTGAAACTGGTATTGCCAAGAGCCAACTGTACCTAATTTAGTCTGGCTTATAAAGTTTCAGAACAGCAGAGACAATTCCCTGGACATCTTCACTCGCATCCAACTCTTAAAACACCTTTAAGAAATTCTAAGGCTTCATTCATAGCTCCAAATGAAAAATGTCACTTTTTATATGTAAGATTTTCAAAATATCAGAATAACTGAACTGTGTCACACCAACATAACTGGACATTAGAAATAGTTATAATTTCTGAAACTCCTCTGAGTCCTCATTAGAAACATGCTGTAAAACAATCTCTTTCTAAACTGTAAGGAATAAGGGTGTAGACATCCAACTCCAGCACCATATGCATTCCTCATCATCCTCATCTCATGGACCCTGAGTCATGTGTACAGTACACCTGGGCCTGAGCCTGTTTAAGCCAAGAAAAGGCAGTGGTATGCCACCCATTTCATTTCCTGGCCCACAGGAGGGCCTTGGTGGCCATGGAGTCTATTCTGACTCACAGCGACCCTGGAGAGCAAAGTAGAACTGCCCAATAGGTTTCTACCAAGGCTGTAAATCTTCAAGGAAGCAGATTGCCACATCTTTCTCCCAAGGATCACCTGGTGGGTTTGAACTGCTGACTTTTTGGTTAGCATCTAAATAATTGAACTGTTAAGCCACGGGACCATAAAACCTACAGACCTGCACTTTTACTTGGGTACTTCATGGCCAAAGAACAGGGACATGATTAAAGTGACTCTGAGCCAGAGGAGCAAAGAGCAACTCTGCCGTCTAGCTCCATCAGGACTGAAGGACCAAAGAGATTTCACCAGCAAGATGATCACAAATTAAGAAAATAAGTGAATTCAAGGGGACCTAGAGAAAGACACACATACACCTCTTCACCTACAATACTGGTTTCAAACATTTTAAATAAATGAATTTTCATTTAAAAGATTTTAGATTATCATTATATGAGCTTCTAGAATTATCTGGGAGCTCAGTGTCTTTACTGGACAAACTGAAAATCCAGTGACTAAATTACAGACAATAATTCATTTCTACAACACCTCTCTAATCAAGCTCATGTAATTTGCATTGCCAAAAGAAACCCTCCACTGCCATGATCTTTCCTCCATTTGAACAAAGAGAAAAGTTTTCTGAGGAACTTAGCTCGGCTGGTGAAGAATCCTGAGGAATGAAAGAGCCTCCCATTTTTCCTTTAAAGCATTTTTAACAAATCTTCAATCTATGAGAAATACAATGGCTTAACTGTCTGGATAAGCTCTCTCACTGCCCAAGATCACGTGAAGCATTCCAACAGAGCTTCTCAGAGAGTGAGTGAGCAGAGCCTAGGCCTGGTGACAGGTGGGCCAAGTGACCACCTGTGGTTTGTTCCCAGAGCCCCCATCATCTAGTGTGCTGCACAGATGCTCTTTACTTTGTGCCGTGATGTGAAAATAGCTGGAAGCCTGGCCCCCTAACTCTTCACACTCCAAAGGAATGGTCAACGACAGTAGGAAAGGCACACATTTTTTAAAATAACTCTGTATTTTAGGAAACAAGTTAGAAGAAAGAGAAACTGTTTGAAGCATAAAAATGAATGACAAGGGAGGGTCCAAAACCGATGAGGACCATGACTAGGACAGTAAATGTGCTTTTGCCTTAGGACACATTCATACCATCTTAACACTTCTCCCTGCTGGTGGTGTGCTGTGCTGTCAAGTCAGTGCCCGCTCACAGCGACCCTGGACAGGGTTCCCAAGGTTGGGAATCTTGTCAGGAGTCTCATCTTTCTCCTACAGAACCCCTGGCCTTGCCCTTAGCAGCCCAGCTCATATTCCATTACACTATCAGGGCTCCTTAACAATTTCTCCCAAGGGGGGAATAACAGGTATTCCACAGCAGGGCCCATCAGCAGGAAGAGCAAGTCGGAAGGAGATACAGATGCTCAACCTACTGACTGCTGCCTTTCCCTCCTCTCCCACCACACTGATTGCTCTGGAGACTACAGAGAGACGGTACCTCATCTCCTACCTCTACGGAAGGAAGGGAAGCTCCAGACAGACCAGACTACTAACCTACGCTTAAGCGTGGCTTTAGGGGTGTGTGTGTGGGGGGGGGGGGGCACCGCTCAGTTGATGCCCTGACTGCAATGGATCCTGCTGTCAAACGCTGCCCCAGACTCAGGTCTACTGAGGAATCTGATCCTGAAAGAGCATAGCTGCCCATGGAGCAGCTCTCCAAAATCAGGAGACTGGAAGCCACTCTGATCAGGGCTCTCTGAAGGCTGACAGCCCTTCACTCACTTATTACAATACCCAGAGTTAATTCATCTACAAGCAGGAGTCCTGAGCAAGAACATGGCCAACTACTTTATTAAACTGTAACTTAAAACCAATGCTAACAAGGTACAGCATAAAGGCATGATTACTATTCCAAATAGCTCAAAAGAGGAGAAGTGGAAACAGAGACCATTGGAAGACTATCCAGAATCACAACACTGGTCCCAACAAATGCTACTTGCCCTCTAGTGTCCTCTTCCTTTCCTCCGTATAACTGAGCCCTGATGTCTAGCAGAACACATGACCACACAGAGCAAAGACTACTTTTCCCAGGCTCCTTAAAAGACATCAGGCACACAACCATTCAGCCCTTCTTTCCGTTTCCTCCATCCTGCTGCCTGGAACCTGGATGTGAACCTGAGAGCTCTAGTGGTCAGGAAGAGTCACACCTAAACGTGACAAAGCATCAGCAAAAAGGAACCCAGGTCCTTGAACTGTCTTCCTTGAGTTGCTTTGAAGACCTCAACGACCTACCTCTGTTGTTGTTATGTGTCATAGAGTCGGTTCCGACTCATAGCGACCCTATATAGGGTTTCCAAGGCTGTACATCTTTATGGGAGCAGAAACCTCATCTTTCTCTCGCGGAACAGCCGACAGTTTCAAACTGCTGACCTTGAGGTTGGCAGCCTGACTCGTAACCCTACGCTACAGACCTACCTCTAGGGCTCACCTATATGAGACAGAAACTTCAGTCTTGTTTAAGCCACTGCGATTATGGGGTTTCCTGTCACATCCAGCTGAATCGAATCTTTGGGGCACAGATATCAATGACTAAAACTATAAAATAAACTCTCCAGGGGCAGGCATTCCCCACTATATCCCCAATACCTACAATTTGTGCCTGCTACATTGTAGGCACGTACCCTATCTGCAGAGTTCAAAAGAATGTCCTCAGTGTTGATGGCTGTACAACATATGACTGTAATCCATGCCAATGACCTATACACTTAACAATGGCCTAAATAGCAGATTTTATGTAATATGTTACCACAATTTGAAAAATACACTTAGCGAGACAATATATGATAGAAGGAATGTAAAACTAATGTTCTCCCATGTAAACTATCACATAATTCACAATAAATCATTTAAAACAAAAAAACACTTAGCTCCACCTTTTTTTTACACTCTAAGAAAATAGGTTCCGAGAACTGTAGTCTTCAGTGCACTAACCCAGCTGGCTAGATGACATGCAATGTGTGTGGTGAATGAAAGAAAACTAGCTCTGAGGAGTTGTCTTTAGGGTCTGTATTTCAGGGGAGAAAGAGGCATTTTCTAAAACAGGCAGTGGTCAGAGACAGAAGAGCTGAGCTACATCACACTGACTGCAACACACATGGGTGAGCCAGGAAACACATGCACACAACAAACCAAAGAATAAGATGAACTGTCCTGTCCCTGTTTTTGCTCATATAGGGCAGAGGCAACATGAAGTGTGGGGTAGGAAGACACACAGCAGGAACTATGATTTGAAAAGTACATAGGAATTTCTGAACCCTTTTGCCGCTAAGTATGAAGATCCTGTTTGCCATGCCCAGAAGCCTTATTAATTCGCTAAAGGGGATGATGTCATCCTGTGGAAATTTGCCAGGCTGAGCCAAGCCTCTCCTAGCCAAGAGTGCTGTCACTACTGACTGACACGGCTGCCCCAGCTCCAGCCCCCGCCCCTCCCACTTCCCTGGCAAGTGGACAGGAATTGATGTAACTGCACAGAAGCAAGGGAAGGGGAAAACAAGCTTCCGGACCACATGCAGAAAAAAAACCCAAACTTCCTTTAATTTTAAAGTTCTTTGTTCTCAAAAGGACCTGGCATCCTCAGTCTTAATTGTAGCCTTTCATCTGAATGACAAGAAAATGACCACTCCTATTCCTAACTAAAGTCATATTTGCTAGATTCCAAAATGAACTACGGAAGGAACCGTAAGACTTTTCTTTTCAGGCCTTCCTCTAAACCTGCCAAGAGGATCCACAGTACCTTAATCAAGAGAGAATGCCAGGGCAGTGGCCTCAAGGTGTAGAGACCACAGCAAACTGATGCTAACAGAGCAAACAGCAACCGAAATGGGTAAAGATGCAGAGAGCTGATCATTTTGAGGGCTGAGTGTCAATGGAGACAATAAGGAATACTGATTCATTTACAGGTATCTCCTATGTTTTAAAAGTTCCCATTGCTTTTATGAAAGAACTACATTAGTACTATCTTCACTAACTGAAAGAAATCTAAAGAGGATTTTCGTTTTTACAGAAAAAAGCAAAACTAGCATTGTTTTGCAGTGAGCCACTGAAGAGGCAGTGTGCACCCTGTCACCAAGCTCCATTCCCGGGAACCACACGCAGCATCTCAGCCTCAAGTCACCATAGTTTTGAACTGTGTCTGTAAACACTATATGTTAGTGTTGTTTTAGTTTTGTTGTATTATTTGGGTCTGAGGATGCTCAAAAAAGTTTCCCATATATATTAACAGTTGTTGCTTCTTTTCTTTATGCAATTACAGCTTACAAAAGCTAAGGCAGGCTCTACTTTCAGATAGTGCGGGAAACCTGCATTTCCTTCAGTGGTGACATCTGAGATAAAAACTATTTGAGCACTTTTTGATGACTGAACTTACAAGAGCAACTCAGAGATAACAGTAAAATTAAACTCTGAAATAATACAGACAACATATATACACTTGGTTAAAGACAGCTTTGCAGTCTTCCTCTGTAAAGAGGAAGATGGTCAGAACCTTCCAAAGAGACTATTGCATTTTCCAATTAAAAAATTGTTTTACTTACACTTCCGTTCCAGTTCCCTTATTTCTTCTGGTGGAATTTTCATTTTATCAATGTGCTCACGTAAAACACTAGCCCATTTCTGTAGTGATTCCATCACACTCCAAGGCCTAGACATGTCTGCAACAAAAACAACCAGGGTCTCCAGCAAGGACTCAGCAGATACGGCAAACTTGAGCAGGCCTTTGTGGTACAGGTCTCCGTCCAGAATCCACACATTACAACGCGTGTGATCTAGGGAAAGAGGTGAAGGTACATTACCAACACGACAATGACCACCAGCACTGTTATGAGAAGAGCCACCAGAAGGCACCTCAAGGTGACAGGCACAGAATCGCATACAGAGTGCAGGCAGAAATCCTATACCAGAAAAGGGCCTAAGTGCTCAGTAGACAAGCTCTCAGTCTTGGTGCCTATAACCTGTCCAGACTTTCACATGAAAAAACTACCATAAGGTGTGACATGTTCACATCTACAGGATTTAAGGAATGAAGTCATTTTCATTTTCAACAAGAACCAAAAGCTATGAAGGAAAGTGGCAAATGTTCCCTGTCCTAACTGTGACATCATTTAAATAATGAATTCTCCCAATATATCAGCAAGCCGTGAGCAGTGAACTGTGCCCAAGAGAGTGTGGTTAAACTCTTCTCGTGTCAGGCCCTCTGAGTAGTACATTCACATACTACCAAGGGTCCTAAAGAGACAAGAGCTTTCCATGTATACAACAAGATAAAACATTACTTATATAAATAACATTATGGAATTACAGATATTTTTGGTGTGATAATAATAGTATGGTTATTTTTTTTTTTAAAGACAAATTTTAGGCATTATACCATTTCATTTACAGATGAAATGATATAATGCCTGATTTTACTTCAAAATAATCCCATGTAGAGTACAGGGAAAAGAGTGAGGGTATAGTTGAAACAGAACTGATCAAGAACTGGTTACTGCTGAAGCCAGGTGATGGCCACCAATGGGCTGATGACAATAGTCTCTCCACTTTGTACACACTTTATAATTTCCATAATAAATATACATATATATATATATACTGGTGTGCAAACAGTAGCATTATAAAGAAGCATGTGGTTCTAAAATTATATCTGAATGATCAAACTACAGAAGACAATTCTCCAAAATGATAACAATCTTTAAAAAGTTTCGATGCTTTTCATGAGAATCATTTTTTGTCTTGAAGAAAAACTATAAAAAATGTCACTCAATAAACTTTTTGGCCAATAAATTACAACATATGCTTTAAAACCTATCTTCCATTAGTTACCTTTGTAAATGATATCAATTCATTAATATGCTACAAAAGTTTATATTCATGTCTTTATTCCAACACTATAATAAAGTATTTATATCTAGTGACCCTTTCAGACTACCTCAGACAGTAATTCTGGTCTAAATACTGTCTTCAAGAATCCCTTCAAAAATATTGCTCCTTTTCTATATAAAAAATGATTTTATCTTTGGACATATATTAGAGAATCAGGTCAGCCAGCTAAATTATCCTACTGTATCTTTAAAATTAATCTTGCAAAAAGCGACGGTGTTTTTACCTTACAAGGTGGAAAGGCCGTTACATATGTTAAGTCTGATTCATAAAAGGAAGATTTTGCAGAGAATTTGGATTTTATAAATCACAGAGGTCTAGTTAAAGGTCTTTTATCTTTTCTTGACCTTTCCTTCAGAACATTCATTTAATGTCTTAACAGGTGATCAATTAATGGTTTAAAGCTTAATTGTTGAACTTGCAGATAGCCCCCATTTGATCTAACTTGGATGGCTTGCTGACCAGAACTCAAACAGATGAAGATAAAGAAGTTTGATAGAGGGAGCAAGTGTAAATTGCTACAAATTGATGAACTGGTCCTTTGCTTGTAGATGTTAATTGCTCAAAATTCCAACCGAAAGGAAGGACTCTTCCTATCAAAGACGGAGTATACCTCCTCAGTACACTGGGTTGATAGGCAAGGGCAACTTAGACATTGGCAATCAAAAGTGGGGGTTATCAAGGCATGAAGTGGCTGGCTTACAAGCTTTCATGAGTCTGCTTACTTTCAGAATGGGGGGTGGTGGTGGTAAGGTAGAATTCCCACTGAATAGTTTTCCTCATTTCCAGATGGGTCTGGTGGATTATGGGGAAAGGATTTTACAATTCAATTGTTTGTAACTGTTATCAGGACTAATTGTGGTTGTCACAACTGTCAATGTAGAAGATGTATAACTAAAAAGGGGGAGTAGTTAATCTTCCATTTCAGGAACACAGGACCCTAGGGCCAGCAAGAGGGAAGAGAATGAGTGGAGCATGGGATCCTAACCAGAAAAGTGGCAACAGCAGAGATGGTGGCAGAGGTGATGGTATAGATAGAGCAGCTGTGGACTCCAGACCCAGGCACTGAGAAAAGCTGTGTGCCTGTGGGCAGGAGGCTGACTTGCAAAGTGTGCCCTTGGGCACTTAAACAAATAATGTATTTTCTGTTTTGTATGTATACATTTAAAAAAAAGGAGGGAATAGAGGCAAATACTGCTGACAGACTGTGGTACAGGGAGGGAATTGTAATTATTGCAATGAAATAAAATATGATTTATTAAATGTAAGCCTGAATAATCTGCCCTATAAACTTTCACTCAATTCACAATAAAAACTTAAAAATAAATAAATAAATCTTAATTGTTGGTAAATGATCGAGGCACAAATGTTGTTGTTAAGTGCTATCCAGTCATTTCCAATTCATAGCAACTCTGTACAGTTTCCAAGGAGTGGCTGGTGACTTTGAACCACCTACCTTGCTGTTCAACCCAATCTTGCAGTCCAGTGCTTATCCTACAGTACCACACTACCATGCTATTTCAAATAAGACATATTTCAAATAGAAGTAGTAACATATAGTATCTTACCTGAATAAGTCTTTGACAATAAAATAATATTTGTCATTTGTAAATTTTGTTTAAAGAATGCAACTGTTCTATAGATATACATTATGTTGTTGTTGTTAAGTACCGTGGAGTCGGTTCCCACTCACACTGAGTGACCCTGCACAGGGTTTCCGAGGCTGTGAATCTTTATGGGAGCAGAAAGCCTCATCTTTTCCCGTGGAACAGCCGGTAGTTTCGAACTGAGGTTAGCAGCACGATTCGTACCCACTACGCTAAAAGAGCTCCTTATACATTATGTAAATAAGTTATTTTATACCACCACCCCACAATACTGCTTTGTACCTCAAGCCTGTGAGTGTGACTACCCAGTACCAGCCTTGCTTCCTTTTGACCAATCTCTCTCCTCGTTACATATCACGCGTAACTCACCCATGCGCTTGGAATATATACATTCCACATGTGGTGTTAAACAGAGGCCCCCCAATCCTGTAGGCTGAGGCCCCTTGACATGGAGAGTCTCACCACAAAGTAGGGATAAACCAGAGACTAGTCTCTCTATCTGGGTGAATGTCTGCAGGAGTGTGTATTTATAACACAGTCATACCACACAGTAAAAACAGATGAGGGCTGCAGCATGTATAATTAACCACAGGGAAGGACAACCCTTCCATCAAAGAGGAACCCATGAGTGGGAGGTCTAAAAAGGAAGAAGCAAAAAACAAAATACAACCATAAATGCAGACACCAAGAAGCTTATGGAGTAAAGTTATAGGAATCTGAAATAGATGTTAACATACTTCAACTCAAAGCAAATGAGCACGGTTAGCATGAGACATTGGCATGAAATATATTCATGTCATCTTAAAATAGAAGACTCAGAATATCCCCACCCCATTTTGTATTTTCAAAAGGAACAAGACAAAATGGTACTAGAGGCACAACATCTCAAGCACTCTGCTATACCTGGCACACGTCACTTCTCATCTACTGACCTGAAAAACAGGTACTGGTACCTCCAGTCCACTAATAAGAAGACGGAGATGCAGAATGGGTAAGTTATCCAAGGCCGCACAACTGTAAGTACAGGAATGGGATTCTGAACTGGTTCTGCCTGGTCCCAAAATCAAGTGCCACAAAATCATACAGTTCAACAAAGACAGGAAGTAAAAGACTCAGGTGCATGCAAGGCCCTCCGGGAAGACTAATGAGCCCTTGTCCAGAGAACCTGCCCAGACTCCTTCAGTACTAGGTTTACCCCCGTCTTCCTCTCACATCCTTGAAGGGAATGTTCAGCATGGCAAAGAAAGTGTAGGGGAGAGGAGGCAGGAATAAAATCCCTGGGGCTCTACAAAGACCAACTTAACATTAAATTGAGATCTGTCCTATTTCTAAATTTCAACAAGCAATCCTTTGCCATGCCCTCTACTGACTCTTAAAGACCACAGAATTGGAAAGGACCCTGGTCAGTCTCTTCACTGTAGCAATAATTTGACAACAATATTTCGTTTTCAGGCCACATAGATAACTCCTCTATAAATAAAAAAGACCTGAGCCCCAATAATTATTTACTTTACAGTCATATAAAAGATCTAACACAAAGACTACAAGATTATAAAGCTGGCATCACTGAATCCTGGAAACCAGAAAACATAATTCCATTTTAACTCACAATTAACAAGAAAACCATTACAAATAACATCCAATCCTTAGAAAGGTGCTTTTAGTCATCTTATCTACTCCATAGTGAGAAAGTATTATTACCTACATTTTAGAGGTAAGAAACTAAAAAGAACAGTATTGCTCCCAAGTCCTTATCCCCTCCACTCAACACAGGAAGTCAGCATTTCTAAACTGTCACAAAGACACGCAGAAAATGTTCTTGTGAGCTGGTAAGTTGTTATACACTCTGAGCCACATCAATTTCAGACTCTACTAGAAGCCGACTGAGTAACAATGGTGTTCAAATTGGCTGCCAAGTATCTCTCTCAGAGAGGCAGGGTTTTACTACCTTTATATGTACCTGAAACTTTATCCTCAGTAAAGTGGGGGTTAATTAGAGCAGCAGCTAACTGAGCCACACCCCATTTTTGCTAACATTCTATATGGGATGGTGAGTAAGGTCCTGCAAGAAACACACTTCATCTATATTGTCTTGTTACTAATCCTCACAGAACCAAACCGAAAACTGTGGGTGTCTAGACATGCTGCAGAAGTTGGGTGTTCCACCTAGGTCCTTACAGGAAGCCACACTTCACTCACCGTCTCGGTCCTCGTCGTGAACGCTGAGGTAGAGATACTCTAGGCCTCTTCCTTTTTTGCCATGCTCAGCTCCTTGTAACTTAGTCATAAGGGTTGTTTTACCAGAACCATCTTCACCTACAAATGATTTTTGCAGGAAGACAAAGGTATGTTGTTTATTCTGGGCAAAGATGAGCGGTCTTGGCATTCAAAAGACGAGAATCAGCTAAAGATGTCATGCCAAGCTCCTGTCCCGGTCTCCCCTGCATTCATACACAAAGCAGCTTTGCTAAGAGTTGTTTGTGGGATGGGACTGATCAAGACCCCAAATTCCAACATGACTTTCTACTGCAGCAATCCTCACCTCACAAACAAGGAAGAAGTTAGAACCACATACCCTTCCTACAATTTATAAGACACACCATTTGGAAAAGCGAAAGGAAAAAAGGGGCTGATTTCTCACAAAGTAAATGTTTGTGAAGCATAAGGACACAATCTTCAAAATATAATTTCAAAGGTTCAGGAACTGTGAACCGAAAAATATTTGATCCTGCCTCACACTATGAAGGATAGGGGTTATTAGTCATCTCTGATTTAGTCCATCTCCTTCACTGGCATTCTAAGGCTGGGAAACTGATGAAAATAATTACAGACCTAAGCAACACTCTTAAGTACAATCTCTATAATTATCAAGCATCTTATCTCCCTTGGCCCAACAAACAAGACACACACACACACACACACACACACACACACACACACACTCTACAAACCAAGAAGAAACACCTAGGTACTCCTGGGTTTAATAAAATGGCATTACAGAAATGAAAACAGAAAGGCATCCCCAATGCCACTTCTTCCTTCAAGGTCCTCCACATCCCCTTAGACCATGGCTAGCGCCTGTCAGCCTGACTAGAATCTGTCCATTTCGGCTATGGAAGTTACCTTTCTAAAAGTCAGCTCTAGTGATCTTGACAACCTGTAACAGTTCTCTACTACCTGCTGCAGTGGGTATGGCTCAAAGCCCACCACTCAGAAACCACTGTGTAGCCAAGTAAAGGAGGAATTCTTCTGCAAATTAGAGTCACAGCCTTCCAGGGATTGGCACATACTCCTGAGCCTTTCACAGCAGGCGCCCAATTCACACCACCTTCCATAGGAAGCTTCGGCTACTGTTGTTAGGTGCCTTCCTGTCTATGTATGGACAAGAGAATGAAGGAATTGCTGTTATGTTTGGGTCCACTGTTGCTGTCACTGTGTCAAACCATCCCATTGTGTGGATGGGGGTTCTTCTTCGCCGACCCTCCACTTCACCAAGCAAGATGTCCTTCTCCAGGGACTGATCCCTCCTGACAACATGTCCAAAGGACGAGAGACAAAGTCTCCCCAACCTTGTTTCTAAAGAACATTTGACCTGTACCTCTTCCAAGACAGACACTTCTAGCAGTCTGCAAAGTTTGCAAATCCAATACCCTCCTGCCACCTGTGTTCCTGAAAACACTGTCGCTCTCTGCCCATGCCCATTGGCACTTATCCTTCACAACACCAGACACAAAAATCGCCTTCATTCAAGCCTACCAAGTAGTGTGCGGCTCCCACACCAACCCATTCCCAGTGACCTGTCTCCCACTAGGCAGGTGCCTACAGCCCCAGTGTCCTGACCACAGGACCCATTTGACAAATAGCTTTGTTGTGTGGATGAGTCCAGTCAAGCTTCCTCAAACAGCATGAGAAAACTGAAGCCAGAAAGGTTAAGCGACCTGGACTCACTCAGCATCGAGGGTGGAGTAACGCAGCAAGGCCCGGGGGACTGACTGTCCAGCCCCTAAATATGTCCGAGAAAGTCCTGAGACCCCGAGGCACTTCCTTCTCCCTAGCGAACCCTCTCCTCTCCTCCCACCGCTCTCCTTAGGGTCCGAGAGTTCAGGGCCAGGTGACCGAAAGGATGTGTTGCCAACTCCACCCCGCACCGTCCGGCTGCCCTCGCGGCCGCGGCAGGTAAAGCCGGACTTGCGGAGGGCTGGGTAGCTGAGGCGTGAAAGGGACGCCCGGCTCGCCCACCCAGTACCCGGGCAACGCCCGCCGCCGGCGCTCACCGAAAACCAGGATGTTCTTGCCAGACGGCAACTTGGACCTGGCGCGAGTGGACACTTCACTCAAGATCGCGGACCTACGGCGACAATGACAACAGCGGTCAGCCTTGGAACCAGCCCCTTAGATGTCTGGAGACCCTGGACCTGACCGGCCCGCCAGACTGTCCGATGATCCTACCCAAGCCTGGTCGGAGGGCTCCCCACCCGGCCGTGTCCTCCCCGGCCTGGCCTGGTCGCCCCGCGGCCTCACCACAAACTCTGGCCCTCCTCCTCCTCGCTGGTCGGGTCACCGGCGGCCGCGACTGCCGGCCCGTTGGAGCCCAGCAGCAGCTTCTTCTCCACCCCCACCGGCGCCATCTTGCCAACTGCAGCCACAAAGAGGGCCCTCCCCCGGGCCCGCCAAGGACCCGCGAGGACCCTGGCCGGGCCGTCCGCCGCCCGCCGCCCCCGCGCAGCGCCTCACGCCCCCCGTGCCGTAGAGTCTGCGCCGCCCGCCACGTCCTGCCCGACTCGCGACGCCCGTGGACTCCCGGAGGGTTGAGAGGCCGCCGCGATGACGAGTGGCGGTCAGGCGGCCGCCGGGGCAGCCCTGCGCAGGGAGGTGCCTGAGGCAAAGGGAGGGGAGGTGCCCGGGCGGAGGGAGCACTGGCGGCCTCTGCTGGTCGAGAGGCGCAGTTACACCCTGCCCCGCCGTGGGTCGAATGTGGTTCCGGCTGTGTTGGGAGAACAGAGGCAGCCAAATGGACAGACCGTGAAAGTCCAGGTTTCAAAATTAGACTAATGCAGATAATGATATTTATCCAGTGCTTATCGTGTGCCGAACGGTGCATTTTGTCATATAATAGTTCACTGAATGTATGTCACCCACTTACAGATGTGGAAACTGAAGCTCAGTCACTTTAAGAAACCTGCCCGAAAACCCAATGTCAGAAAGCAGCATCCAGTACTCCTCATTTTCAAACTATCACTAACCAGCTGCTCCTTGGAAACCCTATACAGGGTCGCTGTGGGTCGGAATCGACTCGACGGCACTTAACAACATCGTAAACTTTGTCTAATCCTACTCAAACCCTGGTAGCGTAGTGGTTACGAATCGGGCTGCGAGCCACAAGGTCAGCAGTTCGAAACTACCAGCTGTTCCGCAGGAGAAAGATGAGGCTTTCTGCTCCCGTAAAGATTTACAGCCTTGGAAACACTGTACAGGGTCTCTATGAGTCGGAACCGACTTAACGGCACATAGCACTCAAACTCTGAACGGAAACCACCCTTAAAGGAAACCCTCAAATCTACATCAATAGCCCACTGTTGCCCTCCTTCCTGTAACGTCCCGACTCCTATCAACCCTCCCTGTACAGGAAGAATTTCGGAAGATGGCTGGTGGGTTTGAAAGGCATGGTCCAGAGCCTCTAGACCTTGAAAAACTGTTGGCGATAATAATGTCTTTACCACAGTCAACAGTACACTTTGCTTTGCTTTATCAACTGGTTATTTTGAGGGATTTAGACATTTGACAGAAGTTGTTGTTAAGTGCGATCAAATCGTTTTTTGACTAATAGTGATCCTGTATAGCGTAGTGGTTAGGAATCGGACTGCTAACCACAAGGTCGGCAGTTCGAAACTACCAGCTCTTCTGAGGAAAGATGAGGCTTTCTGCTCCAGTAAAGATTTACAGATTTATAGCCTCCAAAACCATCTCTATGAGACTCCATGGTACTTAACAACAACAAATAGGGAAAAATAGGGTTTCTGAGAAACAGTTGGTGGGGTTTCAACTGCCCACCTTGAGGTTAGCAGTCCAGTGTTTACCCTACAGCGCCACACCAGGACTTCTTCCTTGATAGAAGTTGTTGTTAATCAGTTGCGACTCATAGTGACCCTGTATCGGCTTTCCCTGGAGCCGCTGGTGAGTTTGAACCTCCAACCTTGTGGTTTAAACCGGCCTTGCTGTTGAGTGCTTATCCCATGCGCCACACCAAGACTCCCTGATAGAAGTTGTTATTATGTGCCATGGAGCCGGTTCCAACTCATAGCAACCCTGTACCGGGAGCAGAAAGCCTCATCTTTCTCGGCCGGAAGAGCTGGTAGTTTTGAACTGCTGACCTTGAGGTTCGCAGCCCGACTGGTAACCAGTATACTACCAGGAGTCTTTAATTTACTCCAGGAAAAAAAAAAAGGTAAAAGAGTGAAGGGGATGTGAAAGAGTGAAGGGGATGTAGGGAAAGAGAGCTGGTCATGTAGGATGCCAATAAATATCTTGGGTAGAGTCCATAGAAACCATTCATGGGTTAACTTGGTCAGTCAGCATAACAGTTCATAAAGACAATGTTTACAGCCTAGTTTATGAGTAAAGTCTGGGATCTTAAAAGCTTGTGAGCAGTCATCTATTGGTCTTTACTCATCTGGAACAAAGGAGAATAAAGGAAACCAAAAGTTCAAAGAAAAAAACGAGTCCAATAGGATGATAAGTCCACATGAACCACAGCCTCATCTAGCCTAAGGCAGAACTAGATAGAGCTCAGATACAACTTGGGACTGTTCTGACCAATAAAAGGCTCTGACTAGAAAGGAAGAAAAATGTAGACCAAAACTCAAATTCCTAAAAACAGCAAGACTTACTAGATCAATTCAGGAACCTAGGAGACTTGGAACTAAAGTTGCTCCCTCCCGGTAATCACCTTTCATCCAACTAACAGATGAAGTCAAAACAAAAACAAACTGAATCCACTGTCATCAAGTTCACAGTGAACCTGTATAGTTTTTCCCAAACTGTAACTCTTTATGGGAGCAGAATGGTGGGTTTGGATCAGCTGGTGGATTTGAACTGTCTACCTTGCAGTTAGCAGCCCAGTACTTATACTATAGCACCATCAGCCTTATTAATAATAACTTAGATTATATAATAATAGTATCTGTGAATACTATACTCACGTAAGCAACTAAATGAGGGGGCTTTAAAATGTTCATGGAAAAATGGAATTAAACAATAATGGATTTTTTTCCCACAAATGTTTCAAAGACCTCTCAACATTTATCCTGAAACAAAGATGAGATGTTTAGGAGGGGCAGGGAAGCTAGAGCAACTGAAACAGAACAAAACCAAATGGAAATAATGGGAATGTTGACACGCTGAAAAATGTAAGGAGTGTCTTGAAACAAGATGTATAGGAATTGTTCAATGGAAATCTAAGTTGCTATGTAAACCTTCTCCTAAAACAACGTATTAAACAACAAAATCAAAAAAATATTGGTTCTCTAGCTAAGTAGTGGACCCTCTATTTCCCCCACATTTTACAGAGGTGTCTAGTGGTCATTGACAAGGTTCCTATGATTCTGCTGAACCATGGAGTAACTGGGGTTCATGGGACTGAAGGAATTTGAAGGAGGAAATAAAAGAACCTATCTTTTTCTCAAGGTCTGGTTTGTGGAGAAGGGGTTCAACTTTTGTAGCTCTGCAGAATGTGCCCCAAGGCAAATCTCATTTAGTACCAGCGTACATCAAAAAGTCTTAGAAAACTTTATTAAACAAAAACATCCAAATGTGAAGCATTGTTTCTTGATGGAACCTCCATCTAGGTCCATACATCTCTGAAGGTGGTGTCTTCCTATCTCACTAACCCTTCCCCAAAGAATTCTGTGCTTTTCAATTTACTTCAAATCTGCAACTTTCAACTTTTGCTTCCTTGAGGGACTCAAATCATTCCTTTGAAATGTTATTTGCGTTTGAGGAATAAAAAGAACTCTGAAGGGTAAATGGAGGTAAGGTTTCTCAACCAAATTCTTGCAGCCCTTGATACCCACAAAGAATGAGCAGGTGCATTGTTGTGTTGGGGAGAAAAAGCCTCAGTGCAACTCTCACCAATGCACTTGTCAACTTTCTTAAACTTCTTCTTAATAAACCCCTATTATTATCCTGTGTCCCTCAAGAAAATCTGCAGAGTTACCCCCTTTGGAATAATAATAATAAAAAAAAAAGTCACAAGCCAGTTTTTATTGGACCTAATTTTGGGAGGGAGGGAGGCACCCTAACAAGCTTAAGACACGTGTATTACTGAGAAAATGTGTCTGTAGCCATCCACTGATCATAAACATGTTTATACATGTTTTGTTTGAAATAAACCTATGCATGTATGAACTGGAACCCTAGTAGCAAATACTTCTTAACTTACTCTCATATACAGAAGAATAGATTCATCACCCTGCTGTGCAGTAATGAATTCTAGCTTTCTGAGAATGTAAGAGGGAGGGACTTCAAAAAATTTATGGAAAATTGCATTATCTTTTAATTCCATTTTTTTCACAAACTTTTTGAATCCTTCATATAGAGTTCCCAGTGTCTACACTGTTGTTCTGGCAGGGAACTAGAACTGCAGTTAGTCTAACTCTAGTGAGTGGTCTATGATTATTAAAATCATTTTCTCTATTGAATTGGCTAGTTCTGAATTCCTAAAGCCCAACATTCCTCTAAGAAGTCATTCTTTTGCTTTTCTTTTGTCTTCATTGATTACCAAATCTCTCCATTTGAGGAAATAAAAGCAGCTCCTCTTCACCTAAATATAGTCAGCAATTACAAAAACATTTCAAGATCTCAGAAGGCAATTGTGTTGTTGCTGTACCATGGAGTCAGTTTTGACTCATAGTGACTCTGTCTAGGGTTTCCAAGGCTACAAATCTTTGTGGGAGGAGAAAGCCTCATTTTTCTCCCATGGAGCAGCTGATGGGCTCAGAGCACTGACCTTGCGGTTCACAGTTCAGTGCTTATCCTATGGAGCTGATGTACTCCCCAGAAAGCAGTACAGGTTCTTTTAAATAGGTGTCATTGACTGACCCAAAACATAGTGTCTAAGCGACAGTACTGGTGTACTCTTAGAGGGAGCGTGCTTCTGTTAAGGATTGTTTAATTTTTCTGTTTTGTACGCAAACTCTAACCAATAAACAACGGTTACAACTCGATGGCACTGAACAACAGCAACACTAAAGACCTACTTTGGAGTCTTGGTGTGGTGCTGCAGGGTAATTCACTGGACCACAAGATGGGTTTGAACCACAAAATTCACTAACCACTCCTCAGAAACCCTTTACAAGGTTGCTATTGAGTTGGAACTGACGATGGCACTTAACAATACCAACTAAGACCTACTTTAAATGGAAAAAATGTTTAGACTGTATCTGAACAATGCTAAGAGACAACTTCTGAATATTTTAATCAGGAGTCAACAGACAAAATGTTTCCCTACAACTTAACCCAACTTTTATAAATCGTAGTAAATACAAATCAAAATAAACTAGATTACTTAAATCATGCCTAGAGTGCTCATTAGATACCAGTAATGTACTGGTGTAAGGAATTTGCCTAATTATGTT